GTAAAAATAAGTGTGTTTATATATTTTTTAGATTTTTTGGTTACAGTATGAATTATTCAAGAGAATCTTTGTTTTAAATTTTCAACTCTTAGTTATAAAAACTGAACATTTTATAATTTTTTAATTCCAACGATTGATAATTTTTGAGATTTTGATAAATTTTATCAAAATTCCAACTTTAAATGCTTATAAAAAAAATCGTGCCTATGTATTTTTAATATTTTTCAACTGATATTATAACAATATATCAGGAGCCTTGTATTAAATTTTTACACTTTTTGGCCCAACAGATAAAACTTAATTGATATTTATAGAAAAAAAAACTAAAAAATTGAAAACTGAAAATGTCCGTAAACGGCTCAAAAAGTGTCAAAATATTTTCAAAATTGTAGGGTGTATAGGAAATGCTAATATAAACATTCAGTGAAATTTTCATGTATCTACAGTAATTCGTTTTTGAATTGCAACAAAATAAGGAAATCGCTACATGAGTAATCGAGTGAAAATCCAATGTTGTAAAAATTTGAATTTCAAACGCTCATAAAAATTTAATTTGACTGTCCGGTAGAGATTTTTTTATTGATAAAGGTAGATAATCTTATAAGGAATCTTGTGTTTCATTTTCAAATCTTAGATTTAAAAAGAAAAATTTTTACGAATTCTTAACTCAAAATAATTTGCTAATTTTCGTGATTTTTCCATATTTTGTCAATTTTTGAACTTTAAATGCTTATAAAAAAAAATTGTGACTAAGGATTTTTAATATTTTTCATCTGCCTTTGAAACAACATATTAGGAGCCTTCTATTAAATTTTCAAGCTTTCGCAACCAACAAATAAAATTTTATTGATATTTCTAGAAAAAAAACTAAAAAAAAATGAAAAATGAAAATGTCCCTAAACAGTTCAAAATAAATCAAAATATTTTGAAAATGTTATCGTGTATAGAAAATGCAAATATAAACAACCAGTGAAAATTTCATGTATCTACGGTCATTTGTTTTAAAGTTACACCAAAAACCAAATTCGATTTTTTGGAAAATCGATTTTGCGTAAAAATTCCCGTTTTTCCTTAATTTTTATGTTGTTTTTACCGGCGCTTGTGAAAACTACTGGAAAATGTTTACTTTTGACCCCCCAAAGTACCAACTAGATTCACTTTCCTATCAGAAAAGGTACTATTGAAGAAAATCGAAGCACTTTTACTGTCCCAAAACGTGATGACAGACACAAAAATATAAAAATATAAAAATATAAAAATATAAAAATATAAAAAAAACATACATCATTGTAAAACCAATACATTCATCGCTCCGCTCAGAATCTAAAAAACTGTGGGTAAGGATTTTTAATATTTTTCATCTGCCTTTTAAAAAATATACTAGGAGCCTTCTATTAAATTTTCAAGCTTTTTAACCAACAAATAAAATTTTATTGATATTTTTAGAAAAAAACTTAAAAAAAAAACGAAAATGAAAATGTCCCTAAACAGTTCAAAATAAATTAAAATATTTTGAAAATTTTACCTTGTATAGAAAATGTAAATATAAACAATCAGTGAAAATTTCACGTATCTACGGTCATTTGTTTTAATGTTACACCAAAAACCAAATACAATCTTGTGAAACATCGATTTTGCTTAAAAATTCCCGTTTTTCCTTAATTTTGCTTTTGTTTTTCTTGGCGCATTTGAAAATTACTGGGAATTTTAAATTTTGACCTCCCCAATGCATCAATGATATTCACTTTTCAATCGAACAAGATATTAAAGTTGAAAATCGAAGCATTATTTCGACTACTTATCGTGTACACAGACACAAAAAAAAAAATTTTAAATTTAAAAAAAAACACATTGTAAAATCAATACATTCATCGTTCCACTCAGAATCTAAACATTTGTTTTCATTATAAAAGGAAAAATATAGAGAATACAAATATTACATTAATATTATGTTTAATAAATTCAACTAGCCACACTATACCAATCCATACAGCTTCAATATAACACTATATTTACCTATGTGTTCTGAAAATATTAGACATATCCAGGATGAATAAACCTACAAACAAAATAATAAATTCGTTTTCTAAAGTTGTTTGGTGATTATCTGCCTGTAATAATTTTAAATATAGGTAATCAATTATTAACAAAAGAAAATACAACTAGAAAAAAGTGTTCTGCTACTTCACTGACAAAATTAGATAAATTTTATCAACCAACTAAAACATTTTAAGTACCTAAGTATCAAGAAAGTATTTATGAAATCGTTATTTTATTATAAATAACAAAATTAATTTAGCTTAAATTAAAACGATTAATTACATAGGTACATAATTTTAGAAACCTTATTTTGATTCATTGATATAATATTGTGTTGTCTATAGTTTGTACATATACATATTTAAATTTAATAAGACCTACCACAACGATTTGTAAAGAAAAAAGAAAAAAATCATATTTAAAATTATACCGAAAGTACAATAATGTGATATTTTTTTCTAAACACGCATGCAATCTATAAAAGTCTTATTTTATATCTGAATACATTAAGTAATATTGGTGATTACTAGGAACATTTCTCCAGACCCCATTTAATTTTTTTAATTTGCGTTTAAAACAGTATCGCACAAATTCTGAAAATAGTCACACAAATTCACACTAATGGCACACTAATGTTTGGTAAAAAAAAAATTTCAAAAATTGTATTTGGGGGGGCTAGCGAAATGTACGTCCTTAGTACCTATCATCAAATATACTTCGTAATATCATAGGCCGACTAACCGTTTTCGCTCAGAATCGTTTATTAAAAATGAATGACTGTAGATACTTTAAAATTTCACTGAATATTTATATTAGAATTTCCTATACACCATACAATTTTGAAAATATTTTGACTCTTTTTGAGCTGTTTACGGACATTTTCAGTTTTTAATTTTTTTTCGTTTTTTTTGTTTATAAATATTAATAAAATTTTAATTGTTGAGTAAAAAGCGTGAAGATGTGATGCAAAGCTCCTGATATATTTTTACAATAGTAGTTGAAAAATATTAAAAATACATGGGCACAATTTTTTTTATAAGCATTTAATGTTCAAATTTTGACAAAATGTATCACATTTAAAATGTAGTAATAATTTTGTAGTTAAGAATTTATAAAATGTTCAACTTCTCTAGCTAAGGATTGAAAATTTAAAACAAGATTCCAAGTAAATATGTTATATATAAATTACTTTGTTCACCTTAGTACCTACCATCAAATATACTTTGTAATATCATAGGCTGACTAACCGTTTTCCCTCAGAATCGTTTTTCTTATACAATGCTATTATATCATTGAATTCAAATTTAATACCATCCATTATGCAGTGACCCACTTGTAATCTACTTATCTACTGTACAGCAGAGCACCTTCTTTTCTTTATAGTTCTTAAGCCAGGGCACTAATTATGTAATATTAAAAACATTGATTTGAGAATTTAATCTTTTGTCAGTATCAATACTTCACTACTAATAATTATATTCTTATTTTTATTTTGATATTCTACGTTAATTGTAGAAAATCATATAAACCTTTCACATAATTTAAAATGTACCAAAATAAAGAAAATATAATTTCCAATGTCATCTTAAGGAAATACAAAAATATGATAAGGACTTACTTTTTGTTTTTAAACACAGCATGTTTTAAATCCATATTTAGCAGCTACCTATATAATAAATAATAATAATAATTTTTTTTAACTCAATACATACAATATAAGACTATATAAAATGTATTAAGTTCTATTATAAGTTGTATATAAACTTTCAATAGGTAACCAAATTTCTGCACAATGTAGTACAATATTATATTATATTCCTCTGATATTTTATATTTTTTTTAATATAGAAATATTTTATGTCTTATCACAAACATCAAATTGAATAGTTACCTTTCACATTTCTAACGCACAAAACATACTTCTACATGTTATTATATAATATATTATATTAATTTAATAAACATACATTTAAAAGAAAAAAAAAATGATTTATAACACAACCTAAAATACTTTCAAAGCGTATGGATTGTCATTGTTTCACACCATTATAGTATTTACATTGTATTTTAATAATATACACAGATGTCATCTTTCAGTTTTTTTTATTATTACGAAGTCCTACTATATAGGTATAACTAACTATGTTTGATAACTTAACAAAATTTAAAATAATAATTTTTTAGTCTCGTTTCATTGCTTACTCTATATATTCCTACCAGGTCAACGGTAAAGTAAAATGTAGTTTGTACAACTAAGTGTCTATTCTAATATTATTAAAATCAAAATATTCTCATTATTCCTTGTTTGGTATTAATCTGTCACTGATAAACCGTACCAGAGATAGATAACATTATAATTATTAACTGGGACAAATTGTTTTCCTATAAATATAAAACTGAAAATCAAAATAAGTGTATTTTTTTTAATTTGTTCTTGGATTCTGGGTGTATACATTTTTAAATATGTTTATTTCACATTAACTTCCATTAATGCATAGCTAGACATTTTATTCTCTTTACAATATCTTTAGCACATTGAAACCAAAAATAATTTAACATTTTTTTAATTGTATGAAATTAAAATTGAACTACTCCTGCTCATACATGACATTTTTTTTAGCTCACGAAAAAAGAATATATTTTTTGTTTATTTATAGGATTTCCATTGGTTACATATTATACTACTAGGTATTATAATATAATTATCTCAAAATATGTTGTGTACATTTTTTACAAATATATTTAAATAAAAAAAAAAAACAAATCTTTGGCACACATAATGACGGACAAAACTGCTGGTTTAAGATAAATGTCGGTCAAACAAATTCAAGAAGTCTTATATAAAAATGTCTATAAACATTTGTACATTTGTGAATTGATGATTCCAAATTTTAAATTATGTGATAGAGCTTTTGAAAACATCAAGAATGAACAGAGGCAACAGTGATTCTTGGGTTCATTCAAGGTTTTTTACAAGCCGGTGGGCATACAGGTCGTAATGTTTCTAAAAAATAAACAAATAATAATGGTTAATAAGAATCTTCAAATTACAATAAAATCAAATTTTCATTTGATGCTAGAAATTATGAATCAAGTGTAAATTGACTAAACTCATACAACAGCATACATAAATGTTATACAGGAAATATAGGCTTATTATTTATTAATGAAAAAATGAAGCTGGGTAATTCTTACAGATATTTATAAAGCCGGGCTCAGTAACCCATGATGCATGTGGCCTCATTGTAGTTTTATGTGGTTATGTGGCTTGAGAGAAAAATGTATATAAGTCATAAATTATGATAGTATGGACAAGGAACTGCGAATTAAAGCATTGTTTGTTTGTAGATACCTTGTTAAATTAATAAAAGTAACAATTATGAACTTAATTAAACTAAATTTGACATGATTATACAACTATTGTAGTCAGTGAACAATTTTACATTAATTTTTTTGTTCTTAAAGACTAAAAATGTTGCCGAAAATTACTGTAAAGCTATCATGGGAGATTAAAATTATCCAAGTATTAACATGATCAAAAAGTATTTTTCATCAGAATTGGTTCGGTGTGGGCCCAAGACAAATTAAAATTCTACAGTAAATGCGTTTAAAGCACAATAGAATCAGAATAAGAAGAGTGAAATAATTTGATTTTTACTACATACTTCATGATCTACATGTAAATTTTTCTTTAGCATATAAAAAAAAATTATATTTTCTTGTTCTTAGATCACATTCATTTCTGTTTTGTTCATTATATATGAAATTGAGAATAGTGTTTAGAAAAAAGTGCTAGCAAAGAATCAGAATATTTTATCTACTCTTGTTTATTTTCTACATTTTTTTTTTTAATAACCTAAAATATGCACATTAAATACAATATAATAAGTAATGTTAATGAAAATTATATTTACCGAAAAGGTTAATTCTAGCTTCGGCACTTCCCAATTTGTTCGTTGCTTTGCAGGTGTAATATCCATAGAATTGATTTAGGATTTTTAATACACGTAATGTTGCCTTTGTGAATTCATCTGTAGACGCCAATGCCAATATTCTAAATGTAAAGGAAAAACCAAGTTCATTAGAACAAAATCAATGTCACACTCAACATTGAAGTAGGTGGGTGAACTTACTTGAAATGTTTATTGTTGTAGATTTGTACTTGATTATCGTAGAGTTGTACTTCATTAGTTGTCCAAATAATTGCAGGTGACGGATATGATTCAACGTCACAAGAAATATCTATATTATTGAATAGAGATTGTCCTACATCACGTTTAGGAACAGTGATTATTGGAGCGAATTCTACATGTATGGCAATTCTATGTTTGGAAGCTTTGCCAAAGCCATTTTCCGCTATACAAGTATAAGACCCACGGTCATATTTTGTGATAGCTGGAATTTTCCAAATGTTACCGCTGTAAGAAAACATTTCTATTATATTTATGCCTATGTAAAATTTAATTGAAAATGGTAAATACTTAAATGCATTTAAATATATTTTTTCTTCAAAGTGTACATTTTTGTTACTGATTGATAATCAAAATTAAAAGGTACTTCCTGCATAGGTAGAAACGGGAAATTTGGTACAAAGGTAGGAGATTATAGTGCAAATGAATGAACAAACAAAAAATTTTAGTTTTGCCAAAATGAATGCAACTTTAGGGAGAGTAGGGATATGTAATTATGATGTAAATAATAACCCTATAAATAAACAAAATAAACCTGATTGTATGATAATATAAAAATAATCACTTAACCCTTCAACAAAGGTCCAAAAAATCAAATATAACAGAAGACAATCTATATCATATTCCTTGATATAATTTAAGAAATAATAATATGTTTTACTAGGTACTGTATTTTAGTTTAAAAGATGGGAGAGGTATTTTACTTATAAATTGATCTGTTGGCACTTATAATTCCATTATTTTCTCTCTTCCAGAAAACTTTTGGACTTGGATTTCCAGTAGCGTAACATTCAAGGGTAACTTGTTGACCTTCCATTACAACCATTGATGAGGTGGAATTGTCATGTATCATTGGTGGTACACGTACTATCAATTCAACTTTAGCAGATATTATGCTATGTAATCCAATCATTATTTGGCAGTAGTAGACACCAGAGTCACCTTGTTGAATATCATTAATCTGAAAATTAAAATTATTTCAAAATTTGAATAAAATTGAGTGAGCAGTAAGTGCTTGAAATAAAAAATGCATAATGCTTGGTTGAAAATGCATGTATATCGATGTCTAGATACCTGTAATGTATAACGTATTAAATCCATATATGAGTCTTTTATTATTGAAAATCTAGAATCATTGATATTAAGGGTATTTCCAAAAGAAAAAAGGATAGTATCACTAGATTTCTCTAAGTCAAACTTCGTCCATAAAACATTATAATCCAAGGGGTTTGAAACTGTACATTCCATTTTTGCTGTACTGCCAAGATCTTTTATTTGGTTTTGTGAAATATGCATTCTTATTGGTGTCATCTGTGAATAGGCTGAAATAAACATAAACAATTAAATATAAATAATTTGACAAACCAACATACTTGGAACACTGGCTAACAAAATCAATAGAGATCACAGTAACTGGCTATTGGGTTTAACACATGGGAATAACAATCATAAATTATAATAATTTTTTATGATCGTCATACATCAAATGTATTTATACAGTTTTTATGTGCAGTGATTAGTGAATAATATTGTTTTTAATCACCATAAAATGGTATTTAATGTTTTAATAATTATTTTATTATATTTTTTAAATCTGAACTATATTTATTAACTTTAAAAATAAGAATCCTTTTTCATTGAAAATTTGATTCATCATGTATCACTTCGATGATAGTTGACGGCTCGGTTGACGGCATTACATGTGTAAAAACTATACAAGATAGGAGGAATTGTAATCAAATTATACAGAACACGGTGGTTAAAACATTTTTAGTAATTCATAGTTTATCATAGTTTAATCCTCTAATTAAATACAAAATAAAAAATACAACTAAAAATGTAATAATTTCATACAAACATTATTTAAGTTATAATAAAATAGTATACATTGAGGTACCTATGTATATTGTTTTATGATTATTAAAAAAATATTTATAACTTTTTCTGAAATTAATTAAACTTGTTTATAAAGCAATTAGTCTCTTTAATATTTTTAAAATTTTCCGCAATTCAATAAAACTTGAAAACTATATAATTTTAGTTACCACATTGAATTTTATACTTTTCCACTAATCTACTGCCTTCACCTGATTAGAGGTAGTGGAGGGGGGAGGAGGTTGATACGATTGTATTATATCAAAAAAATGACTTCACAAGAATAATTCACAGGCCTTGTAAAATTATCCGATTTTGATAACAATTTTTTTATCTGAAAGAAGAACTCCGATTTTATTATATTTCAAATAATGGTATAATATAATTTGTAAAGAATAGCATAAAAGTTAAAACTGTGTTATTTTTGAAGACATATTATAAAGTTTGAGATTAAAATATTGAAAAACGGAGTTCAATGCTGCCTGTAGAATATTACCCTAGGTATATGAGTTTAAAAAAAAAATTATCAAATTTGGTGGATTCTATAAAACAGGATCACTATTCCCGTAGAGTGTATTTTTGTGGTCCAAATTACATTGGCACCGGAAGCCATAACTATACGCCCTCGGCGTAGACTCAGGGTCAACTGTCGCATTCAGACGTGTGACTTTGAATTATAATAGGTTTATATTATATATATTAATTGTTGACGTGCATAGTGCACTTGTCGAGTGTCGACAATGGATTTGAGCACAGACCATTAATTGATAATACTATAATAGGTCTTCTGTGTTTGCGGTATGGTGTATACTTACTGATGGCAATGCACAGCACGAAGAGGACACCGTAGATAATCTTCATCTCGAAAACGAAATTTATTTCTCAGAAAAAAAGAGAAATAAATATTGTTACTTGTTGCTATTAGTAATCAAACCTAAAGCGGAAGAGAAAAATATTTTTATGAACCATAACGTTTGGTGCGGAAAAATCGCAATCACTTTACAGTACAACAGGAATTTGGCCGTCACTAAAAACCGTGGTTACCGTTCGAACAATTTGCGCTGAATGATCATTGGCAATATTTCTAAACTTATTAGAGTTTTGAGTTGGGTGATTCTGATTGGCCCATATTTTTATGGCGGCAAATTCAAACCTATAAAATCAAATAAAATTATATGTATTATTGCCGGGTTGCATGAAACCGAACTTTAAATTTATTTAATGAACAGTTTTAACGAGCCGTTAAATATTTTTACGGAAGCGTTTGGGTTGCACAAATCGTACAATAAAAATATATTGGTATTAAACATGATACCGAGGTTAGTGTAGAAATTTAAGTTTATCACAGAAAAAGTGATAAAATCCTATGATCTAGATACTGTATCAACAGCTGTTTCATAGGCGCAAATAGGAGGGGGCTAGGGGGCTTTAGCCCCCCCTTGAAGTTTCTATAGCCCCCCAAAAACTAATGATTTCACTACTATAATTTAAAACCATCATAAGAGTTTCAAGTATAGACCTGAGCTTCAGCCCCCCCCAAATTTCAAACACTATTTACGCCAATGAGCTGTTTGAACTTTTATTTTGAATATGTATAATAACAATAATTGCTAAATTCTACAAATTGTGAATTTGTTGTCTACTAGTCTGTACTTAATCTTTCTTCGGCGTTTTCGGTTCTGTTGTTTTGTACACATTTTATAACTTTAGTGTTTTTTTAGCAATTGTAATTACCTAAATATTATAAAAAATGTCTGAACATAATATGAATGAGAGTCAGTTAAAACAGAAACGTATGAGAGGAAAAAACTTTACCGAAAGGGAAAAGGAGCTATTAATTGACTTGATATTGCCTTTTAAGCCAATTATTGAAAATATTAAAGTAAGTAGTGTTCTTAATAATATTCCTTTAAATGTATACATTCAAAACAAGATATACAATAATATTAATTATGTAGTTATAACATTACTCATAATTATAAATTTATAACTTATAACACTTCATTATAAGTTCATTATATTTTAATTATTTATTTATTCTGTGTTAGACTGATGAAATTTGGAATAACAAAAAATCTGAGGTATGGTCTGAAATAACTAGCCTCTACAATTTACAACAAACATCAGGCATTCGCATTGACACCCAATTAAAAAACTTATATGATACTCTTAAAAGAGATGCTCGAAAAGAGAAAAGTAATGATAAGGTAAAAAAAAAATTATATTTATTTTCATTTATTGTTATTTTGCTCAATATATTATCCAATTTTTGTTTATATAACCTACCAAACCCATATTAAATTACATTTAATGAGATTTATAGGAGGCTGACTCTTAATAATACTATATTACTATCAATATTTTATATTTAATAACATTTTACAATGTTTGTTAAAATCTAAACAAATTAAATTATCAGCATTAATTAACTTTGATCCTCTATCAAAAATCTAGCTTATATTGTATTATATATGTATAGGTTATCTTTAAATTTAATATTTACTCTGCAAATTTAAAGAGGTATTTTTTTTAATATCACAGGAAATGATACTTTAATAAATAAATTAAAGAAAACTGTTAGAATAAAGCATTAATATAATTTTAGTATAATTTAATTGTAAAAATTAATTATTAAATAATAAATATAAATTTTTTATCTGGTTTCTTAAGTGTCAGATAGTAGGACCATTGTTCGCACCGACTCTCCCACTCTGTGAAGGCCTTTAGTAAGATTAATTTTAACTCATCCAAGATATTTTGTTCAAAGTTAACCTCATTCAACTTTAATTATAATTTATAAGTCTTCAGTATAATTGTATATTTACAATGTTTAGGTTCAAATGTACAAAACAGGCGGTGGATCGAATACTAACCTTTTATCAAAAACCACTGAAAAAATTATTGGCTTACTAGGAGACCAAATGGATCCATTAATTAATTCAGTGATTCTGATACTAATTACAATGACAGTACCTACAGTATTGAGAGTTTTTAAGAAAACATTGTATTAAAGAAATAGTTTATTAAAATATAGATTTTACTTAATAGATTGTATTATTTATTTAGGAGGATTTGAAGTTGTCAATTTATTTTCTGAGGACATAACCGACTTTGAAGATTCAAGTATGTATTTATTAATTATTAGTTAATCAGATATAAATTATAAGTTATAACTAATTAATTACTAATTAAATTTTGAGTTATCAAGGTTTTTGACTTATTCAGGTTTGAGTTATTGAGATTTGACTGTATATAGTGCACAGCGGATAGTCCTCTTTTATAGATTACCTTTTACAGTGGCGGTATAAATAAAGTTACATTTACAAAGTTGTATAAATGAAAATGTAAGGTGAGTGGGTAGTGGTCAAAAACTTTTCAGGCCAGTGTAACAGCTAACTAAATAGTTATATGGTTTTATATTAATGGGTAAGTAGGTGGTTTGTCAATTATTGTGATCAAAATTAAATTGTGTAACTGATATCTAATAAAAGATCATGCCGCCACTGACTTTGTATAATAATATAATCAATGCTAATAGGTATGTAATTTGGCTTTTGATATAGCCAATTTGTTTCAAAATTCAGATATCATATGTGAACCTGTTATTCCTGAATCCATATCCTTAAACAAAACATTCTCATCTTTAAATCAATCCACTCCTTCAGTATCTGCAGCATCTACTTCCAATTCATCCAACAAAAGAATAATATATAATTCCTCTATTAAATCCCGTAAAAATGTTGAATCTGAGCCCAAACAAGTTTCTTCTAAAAGAATTTATGATGGCTTGGCAACATTAAATAATAAAAGATTAACAAAAACTGATAATTGCTCTAAATTTGAAGAAGAAATACATGATATAAAAATTTAAAAAAGCAAAATTGATCTTGAAACAAGTGAACTTAAACGAACATTAGTGATACAAAAAATTAAGTATGATAAAGAAAAATTTGAATCTGAAGTCCGTCAAAATAAAATTCGTGAAGAAATATTATTAACAGAATTGATGCACAAGAAGAAAATGTTTGGAATTGAATAACGTATTTATTAATATTTACATAGAACTTATTTATATTGATATATGTATTATATTACTAGGAATATTTTAGTATATATAAATTTTTATATTCTGATATATATATAATTATGTTCTTAATTAGGTATATTAGTTATTATAAAAGTATATTAGTAGGTACCTATAGTTATTAGTATATTCTCATTTCTCATATATATAAATTGCTATAATCCTATGTTATGCATATATAAAAATGAATTACTATATTCTCATAATCTCATGTATAACTAGTATATTTTATATTACATTTTCAATTTAATAATAACACCAACTAATAATTTAAATTTTATTTTATTTTAATAAATTATGATAATAATTTAGTATTATTAGTATAAAATAGAGTTTACATTTATATTATTTTTATTATTAATAATAATTAATATTTAATTTTGATCAAAAATAAATTATTATTATGCAAAAACAGAATTTATTAATTGTGTCCTAACTAAGTTACCCGTCTGTCTAGCAGGCCAGCAGGGTTTACATAAACTGGATTTAATATTTCATTATTTATTATATTTTCATGATCATCTTCTGGCAGTTCATCGTTTTGCTGTTTTAAAATATTATACAAAACAGCAGTAGCAACAATTGTCATCATGGCTGTGTTCAGCTGTGTACGTATACCTAATGCCAACACAGGAAATCTTCGTTTCCATACACCGAACATCCTTTCCACAACATTTCTTGTGCCAATATGGGCTCGCTATTATGTAAGGTAAAATAATGTACATGGATTTAAAGACTCGTATTTAAATTATACCTACCTGATATCGTTTCTCTGGCTCGGTATAAGGATTAAGGAGAGGAGTCATTAGATAGTCACGACAAGGATATCCACCATCTCCCAATAAAAAGCAATTTCTAAATTCATTATTTTCAAATTGAGCCCTTACCATGCTATTGTCAAATATTGTGCTATCATGGACTGAACCAGGCCACCTGTATAATATAAATATTAAAGTACCCCCTTGTTATAAGTTACAAGTTAGGTACTGAATTTTTTTTACCTAGCGACAATATTCATCATTTTCAAATTGCTGTCACATATGGCCTGAACATTAAACGAAAAATACCCTTTTCGATTTCTAAATCGTTCTCCTATGTTGGCGTTTGGTGACTGGATTTTAACGTGTGTACAATCTAAGGCACCAATAACCCTAGGAAAGCCACGTAATTGGAAGAATCCTGTTTGAATCATGTTCTTCTGTTCGGCATTTCTCGGAAAATCAATGAACTGAGATCGAAGACGACAAATCGCTTGTGATACACGTTTTATTGTTCTACAAATGGTCGATTTATGTACGTGCACATGATCTCCAATGACAGCCTAATGAATTATTCCAAAATATTTATAAACAAGTTCCTACCTAATATAATATCAACTATCAAGTAGTACACCACGATCGTGTGCAAAAAATATTTAATTTTATATTGTTAGCTTAAATTAAAAATATAATTTAATATACGTTTAAAAAATATTTATTCAACCATTTGCATGTGGTCGTGAGTAATATTGTAGTCTGGGGATTTTTTTTCCGATTACCGTAAGTACCTACCTACCTTAAATAGTAAGTAGGTAATTTGTAATTGTATAAATACATTTTAATTTATATTTTATACAAGTGAGAGGCAGGTTTTCATTCTGAGAACTTTATTATTAATGGAAAAGGGTCCTTAGATCTACTTGATAACTTGGAATATATTAGAATATAATATTATACTAGTATATTGTCTATATTATTTAAAACACTTGAAATGCTCCTGTTGCGTAATAACGTAATGT